CCTTCCACTTTCTCCTCGGAGCCAGGTGCCGGCATCTGCTGCTCACAGATGTTATTTATGCACAGCGATTATCTCAATGATATATCTTGGTTGCTGGAACTGCTTCTGTCTCCAGATTAGTCTGTTTCCAGTGGAAGCATTCCACGGGAATTAATTAGTACTTGCTCCTGAAGAACAGGTGTCATTAGACCCACCCCACACATGGCCTCGTCTACCTGTCCACGAGGTCTTGTGAAATCCTGGGCCCAGGATCCAAAGTCTTCCACCAGCTGACTCCGGGGGGTGGGACGCAGGGGCCAGTGGGCAGCTCTACATTTAAAAATCATTGTCTTGTAGTTTTCAATTTAGAGAATTCCTTTGAATCCAGGGCCTAGGGTTCTTTACACCAGCCCAATAGCTGGGAATATCAGGCTCTTTTTTTTTAGGTAAGAAAAAGGAGCCTCTGAAAGGCAGGGTGACTTGCTCAGAATCATACAACTAATTAAGTAGCAGAGGCAGGATCTGAACTCACAAGGTGTGTGTCTTTCCTCCAGGAGTCTTCCATGTTTTATCCCACAGTCTTTAGCCTCAGGTGTTAGCTGAGACGGAGACAAGTCTCCCAATGGAGGGAAACTGGGCAGAAAGAGCCAAATAATCTTGTCGGGATTCTAGACGGTGGGGCAACGGGCAGAGGGGAATGCCTGTCCACCCGGGAGGAAGGCAGGGGCTCTGGGAGATGCTCTGCCTAGGGGGACCCTCCCATGCCTCTGGTTGAGCCCGGCATGCCACACATCACTGCTTCAGTTGGGCCTAGAATCCTGCTGGGTTTTTTTGTTTGTTTTGCGGTATACCCGTTGCGGAGCACAGGCTCCGGACGCGCAGGCTCAGCGGCCATGGCTCACGGGTCCAGCCGCTCCGCAGCATGTGGGATCTTCCCGGACCGGGGCACGAACCCGTGTCCCCTGCATAGGCAGGCGGACTCTCAACCACTGCGCCACCAGGGGAGCCCCTGCCATTTTTTTTACAAGCACTTCTGACCGTGCCCTTCCCTGCTCTGTAGCTCTCTATGGCTCCCTATCACCTTTGGGATAAAACCCAAACTCCTTAGTTGGGCTCACTAAACCGTTCACGAGCTGACTCTAGCCTCGCTGACCGACATTACCCTCCCTGCCCTGCCTCGGGGAACGCTGCACACCAGCCACACTAGGCCAAGCGTTAGATGCTCCCTGTCTCCTCCCGCCCCCGCCCTGGTGCTCCCTCCCACAACGCCCATGTGCATCTCACCCAGCCAGCCATTCGTTCCCACCTTTAAGCAGACAGCTGAAGCCACCAGCTCCTCTCCCACAGCTAAATCAAGGGCATCCCCTTCACTTAAACCCCAACATTCCGCCAGGAAAGATCTCATCACCCTGCTGGCCGCAGTCTGCTCCTAGGTCGGCCTCTTGCCTAGACTGGGAGCCCCTCTCGGGAAGGGTTCTTCCTTATCCCCGCAGCCTGGCCTCGAATTTGTCCTGAGTGGACACCTTATCAGGATCTGCTGAACGCACACAGTTCACTAACAGGTGCTTTCAAACGCATTCCCTCATCTTTGCCCTCAGAGAGAAAACCTTTCTCTAGGTTACCCGGCACCACGGTTAGCGAGCTGTAGAGGCTGCAGAGGGCGTTCAAGCTTCTCAAGCCTTCGGGGGCTAGACCTCATCGCCCCCGACCCCCACAGGCGCCTGGGACACGAGGCGATGACGATGCTCCGCTTCGGGACAAGGGCTCACAGAGGTCCTGTCACACGGCGAAGGTCACGACATTAGCAAGTGCAGGATCCAGTTCTCCTGACTCAATATTTAATGAATTGTAAAACTGGTTGAACTAGGCTCTGTCATACTAATATAACCTCACCATCAGCTTTCTCATCTGCAAAATGGGCCTATGCCATGGAAATTGAAAGTGTGTTTTGAGGGGTAAACGAGGCCCATGATTCCCAGATGGTGGTCCTAAGACCAGCACTGGAATCCCCTCATGTGACTGTTGAAAATGTAGGTCCTGGGGTTTCCCTGGTGGTGCAGTGGTTAAGAATTCACCTGCCGATGCAGGGAACACGGGTTCAAGCCCTGGTCTGGGAAGATCCCACATGCTGCGGAGCAACTAAGCCCGTGCACTACAGCTACTGAGCCTGTGCTCTAGAGCCTGCAAGCTGCAACTACGGAGCCCACGTGCCACAACTACTGAAACCCGCGCTCCGCAACAAGAGAAGCCACCGCAATGAGAAGCCCATGCACCGCAACGAAGAGTAGTCCCTGCTCGCCACAACTAGAGAAAGCCCACACGCAGCCATGAAAACCCAACGCAGCCAAAATTAAATTAATTAATTAAAAAAAAATGTAGATCCTGGGTCTCAATGTGAAGAAAAAACGAGGAGGGGGGCCTGTAAATCTGTGATTTTTAAACGGTACTTAAGTTATCGTATGTGCAGCCAAGTTTGGGGACCCCGAAAATTCCAAGAAAAGCCTGATACATAGTAGGTGGTTGAAAAATGTTAACATCGTGGGTACAGAACTGTCAGCGCTGGCGGCATTAAGACATGCGCTGCTGTGTGCTGTTGGGTAAATTACTCAACCTCTCAGAGCCTGTTTCCTTATTAGTAAAGTGGGTCAAAAATAGCAATAGCCACCTCCTAGGGTTCTGGTGAGGACGATCTAAGTAATGCACTTCCAGCCACCACACCGACCACCTACCAGTCCCGTCAGCTCCAAACCAGCCCCCACTTTGCCTCCTCTCACCATCCCCACAACCATTTAACCCAGGAGACCCTCTCCTCCAGCCTAGAGAGGTACTCTAGCCTCCTAATGGCATGCACTCATCCCTCCTCAATCCCTTCCCCACACAGAGGAGTGATCCTCTGAATCCGATTATGTCACGCTCTGCTCAAAACGTCCCGACGGCTTCTCATCACCCCCGGGAATAAAATCCAAACCTCCCAGGCCCCGCACGTTCTGGTCTCTGCCTGCTTCTCCTTCTCCCAGGGGAGGTTAGCTGACCACCCAAGCTAAATGAGACCCCTTGCAATTCCCTATTCCCTTTATTATTTATAATAACCCCACTTATTTCCTTTACTACCTGAATTAAGGTGTGGGATATTTGTTTGTTTGTAACATTGTGTGCTTGTCCTCTTTTCCAGCAGGCGTCGGTTTCAAAGGGAGAGGACCATGCCTGCCTGACCGACTGTAACACACTTAGACCTGGCACATCACCTGAGGGAGAGGACCACGCCTGCCTGACCGACCGTAACACACTTAGACCTGGCACATCACCTGAGGGAGAGGACCTGCACACCACTGACCCTCAGCAGATGCCGCACAGATACTGAGCGAAGGAATGCGTGGAACAGTCCAGCGCCAGGGCCAGCAATGAAGGCCCAGCCGGCGGCAGTTAGCTCCCTCTCCCTTCCCCCTCCCGTCTGCTCTCCCTGCCCCTGTCCCTGAAGGCTTCAGGTAAAGGACAAATACCGTACATGGGAGAGGAGAGACAGCAATGCCCAATGTCATCGCTACTTTATTTGATTAGCTCTGACTCTGGCAGGCGGGACACGCGTGCTGGGAGCCAAAGCAACTGTACCCTGACCTCTGGTCCACAGGATCCCATCCTTATAACAATTTCCATGACAACAGCAACAGAAAGCCAAGGCTGTGAATTCTCTTTGATAGGAACCGGATGCAGAGATGGGGAAGAAGGACTTTCAAAAGAATGAAGCTCTTTGATTCAGCTCAAGGCGCCTTCACTAAATACCACTATTTTCCAAGAACACACATTTTAACCCTGCAGAGGGAGATTTCTCATGAATAATAAAAAAAGAAAAATGAAAAGAGGAACAAACAAAACCACTGTGGTTCCTTTTCAAGAACGTTCACCTATGGAGAGAGGAAGACTTGGATGGCATCAGGAATATTTTGATGAAAGGCAGGCAGAATACAGGGCCTCCTGCCAAGGGGGCCGCATGAACCCAAGATGCCTGAGTGGTGGCTGAGTGCTCAGACATCCTGACTGCCTGACAGAGGAGGCTCAGGGTCCTCCATCCACCTGGTCGGTCAGACAGACAGGAAGACGCAGGGTGAGGCAAAAGAGCTCCCAGATTCTGCAGTTAGAATCACGAGCCCTGGATTTGAATCCCAACCCTGCCACCTACCTGCTGCGTTACCTTGGGTGCATTGCTTCCCACCTGTGGACAGAACTTTCCCATCTGTTAAATGGGCACAATATCATTCGCTCTCCCCCAGGGGTACCACGAGGACTGAGGGAGGGGACACATTCAAGTACAAGTGATTCTAATGTTCTGACATGGCCATGAAATGAGTGACCAACTGTCCTGGTGTCCCTGGGGCTGAGGGCTCGCCTGGGACATGGGACTTTTAGCACTAAACCAGGACAGTCTGAGCCCATCATGTCTCCTGAGGTGCTCAGCTCCCTCCTGGCCTCACCTCTCATCCGCCTCCCGTTCTTATCTGAGGCAGCCAGGGATGGTGGGGCCTGAGGACCTGGGTTTGAGTCCCGACTCTGCCACCCTCTAGCTGTGGGACTCTGGGTGAGTCACCTCTCGTCAATGGAGATGCTGATCCTCATGCAGGATCTGCACTATCTGTTTCACATCCAGCCCCGCTGGTCACCACGTGCGCACGCACGCACACAGGCACGCGGGGACGCACACAGGCGCGCACGCACGCACACAGGCACGCGGGCATGCTGCACGCAGCCATTCTGCCCCAGGGCCCTGATCTGCCCAAGGACTCAAACTCACTCTGCCTCAGCCCTAAAGAAGGGAACAGGACTCCTAAGTCATTTATAAACCCCCTTCCTCATCTACCATATCCATGTGAACCATCCAGCCCCGCAATGCCCTCCACCTCCCCGCAGGTCTGTGACAGTCAGACATCCGGGCTGTGGCCACGCCCATCTGGGTGGGAGAACCATTCTCCCCCTGCTGGCCGCAGCATCCTCCCCATGGGGTTCTGAGAGGACCCTGTGACACCCACCTGGCTTTGCACTTTCTCCAGCTCCTCCTTGCTAACTGACGTCTTGCTGTCCTCCATGGTCCCCAGCAGGAGCTGCACGTCTGACAATAGTGCATGAGTCCTTCTGAGGTCCCTCCGAAGACGCTTCTCCACATCAAAGTCCCGATGGCCGATCTGGAAGCCAAGGGAAGGCTCTCGTGAGCTAAGATGACAAAGTAGTGGCCAGGGTCCAAGTCCTCTGGAACCTGGCTCCCTGAGTTCAAATCGTGCCTCCACCACTCACACTGTGTGACCTTGGACAAGACCTTTCTCCTCCCCAAGCCTCAGCCTCCTCATTGGCAAAACAAGAATGGCAGCATTATCTTTGACAAAGGAGGCAAGAATAATCAGTGGAGCAGAGACAGCCTCTTCAATAAGTGGTGCTGGGAAAACTGGACAACTACATGTAAAAGAATGAAACTAGAACACTCCCTAACACCACACACAACAATAAACTCACAATGGATTAGAGACCTAAATGTAAGGCCAGACAGTATCAAACTCTTAGAGGAAAACATAGGCAGAACACTCTATGACAAATCACAGCAAGATCCTTTTTGACCCACCTCCTAGAGAAATGGAAATAAAAACAAAAATAAACAAATGGAAACTAATGAAACTTAAAAGCTTTTGCACAGCAAAGGAAACCATAAACAAGACCAAAAGACAACCCTCAGAATGGGAGAAAATATTTGCAAATGAAGCAACTGACAAAGGATTAATCTCCAAAATTTATAAGCAGCTCATGCAGCTCAATATCAAAAAAACAACCCAGTCCAAAAATGGGCAGAAGAGCTAAATAGACATTTCTCCAAAGAAGATATACAGACTGCCAACAAACACATGAAAGAATGCTCAACATCATTAATCATTAGAGAAATGCAAATCAAAACTACAATGAGATATCATCTCACACCGGTCAGAATGGCCATCATCAAAAAATCTACAAACAATAAATGCTGGAGAGGGTGTGGAGAAAAGGGAACACTCTTGCACTGCTGGTGGGAATGTGAATTGATACAGCCACTATGGAGAACAGTATGGAGGTTCCCCAAAAAACTAAAAATAGAACTGCCATACGACCCAGCAATCCCACTACTGGGCATATACCCTGAGAAAACCATAATTCAAAAAGAGTCATGTACCAAAATGTTCACTGCAGCTCTATTTACAATAGCCAGGACATGGAAGCAACCTAAGTGTCCATCGACAGATGAATGGATAAAGAAGATGTGGCACATCTATACAATGGAATATTAGTCAGCCATAAAAAGAAACGAAATTGAGTTATTTGTAGTGAGGTGGATGGACCTGGAGTCTGTCATACAGAATGAAGTAAGCCAGAGGGAGAAAAACAAATACCGTATGCTAACACATATACATGGAATTTAAGAAAAAAAGAAGTCATGAAGAACCTAGGGGTAAGACAGGAATAAGGACACAGACCTACTGGAGAACGGACTTGAGGATACAGGGAGGGGGAAGGGTAAGCTGTGACAAAGCGAGAGAGTGGCATGGACATATATACACTACCAAACGTAAAATAGATAGCTAGTGGGAAGCAGCCGCATAGCGCAGGAAGATCAGCTCGGTGCTTTGTGACCACCTGGAGTGGTGGGATAGGGAGGGTGGGAGGGAGGGAGACACAAGAGGGAAGAGATATGGGAACATATGTATATGTATAACTGATTCACTTCGTTATAAAGCAGAAACTAACACACCATTGTAAAGCAATTATACTCTAATAAAGATGTTAAAAAAAAAAAAAAGAAAGGCAGCAACCACACCGGGCTGCTGTGGAAGTTAAACAGGTGCTTAGCCCACAGCATGACTCGTAGTAAAGGCACAACAAATCTGAGCCACTGTCATGACTGTTATCACAGCCTGTAAGGACGCAAAGTTATTCTGTCTCATAATCTCTACCACAGCCATCACCTTGCAAGAGCTTACATGTCAGGCGAGGCCCTCTGCTGACGGAAGTCAGGACAGCAGTTACCCTGGAGGGGCAGTGACTGGGTAATACAGGAGTGGGGGCTTGTTTGTGGTGTTAATCTGGGTGCCGGCTTTAAGAGCTGATGCAAATTCAATGAGCAGTACAGGTGGGATAAGGTGTGCTTCCCTGCATGTATGTTACACATCAGTAAATGGTATTAGAAATACCTGTGCTGCTTTTGAAGGTCTAAACCAAGCTTTTCTGTCCCTTGAGCAGGTCTCTTTTGCTAGTATAAAGACAGGCCATTTTCTGCAGAGGAACCTTGCCCAGAAGTCCCTCCCCCAGGATCCTGTCCTCCAAGACAGTAGTCACGTGGCTCCTGAAGAAGCCGCAGCCTGGACTTGGCACGGGGAGGGCGAATTAGGTTCGTTAACAACTCCCAGTGGCCAACAGTACAGGCTGAGACAAACCAAGGGAGGTGCAGAATCAGGTAGGGGCCCGATGAAACCCTGACAGCCCATGGTCTCCCCTAGAAACAGAACACCTACTTCAAAAGCATTGGGGTTAATGTCTCTGAAAGAAACTAACAGCCCCTTTCTCTGCAGGAGACCCGAGGAAGGAACATGGCACCACTCGTCAGATGGGGAGTTTTCAAGAAAATGGGGTGCAGGTGTGTCATCCATGGAACCCAGTTTCTACACCCCTGGACATCTGTGCCTCCACACCAAGTGCAACCAATTCCTGGATGCTCAGAATACCCTGGAATATTCTAGAAAGAACTTGGGATTTAGAATGAGGTGGCCCAGGCTTGAAACCCTGGCTCACCACTTGCTGGTGGTGGGACTGAGGCTGAGTCATGCCACCTCTCAGAAACTGAGTTTCCTCGTCTATAAAGGAAGAGGTTAAAAAAAAAAAAAAAAAATCTCTAACCTCCATACTGAGATAAGACAAGGATCAGATGTGATAATGGATCGAAAAGTACTTTGTATGCTGTCAAATGCTTTACAAATATAAAAGATTATGAGTACTGTCTGATGACCTGGAATGTATTCCTGTAGACTTTGTGTTATTATTCTACTGCCAGTTCTGAATTCTTTGAAAAATGAGTTGGTTCTTAGAATATAGCCTCTTAGTTCTCAGATTTATTGCTTTGTTAAGTTTAAAATGCTGAGGTGTTGTTTGTGTGTATATATCTCCTCCTGAGCTGAGGAGCTGAGGACTGGGCATGGTGCCAGGCCCTTTGTCACATATTACTGCATTTTACACCTGTGGTAGTCTCTTTAAAATGCCATTATTATTATTGCCTTTATTAAAATAGTAATAGCTTACACTTTGGGTTTGCTAAGTGTCAGACACTGTTCTAAATGCTTTACGGGTATGAACACATGGAGTCCGCACGGTGAATCTATGGGGTGTGAAGTATTATGATTCCCATTTTATGGATGATGAAACTGAGGCTTACAAAAGTGAAGCAGTTTGCCCAAGATCACACAGCTAATCATAAGTGGCAGAGTTAGGATATGAACCCAACTTTTCTGACTGCAAAGACGTAATTTTAGTAAAATATACAATAAAAGAGGTTAAGTTTTGCGCTTCAATTTAAAAAAAAAAAGGGTGTTATGAAGGCACAGAGGAGCATCCCAGCCTAGGCTGGGATGGGACCAGACACAGTCTCAAGTAAGCAGGAGCTAGTTAGGTGAGGTTCAGGAAGGGACACAGCTGAGAAACCATCCTGAATATGCGGTTCTGGGTGATTAGCATGAGGGTATAAAACACAGGGATGGGGCAAGTCACAGAATGAGAGAAGTTCCCTGGGGCCAGCTCACGTCTTGTGAGCTGTGTGCAGCTCTTCAGTATGTACTGTCATAGGGAAATGGAGGCACAACCGATAAAACAGAGAGGGTAAGTGATCAGCTCAAGGCCACACTGCTCCTAAGTGGCTACCCAGGGACTGGAACCCAGGCAGCTCAGTAGTAGAATTCAAGTCTCTAACCACTGTACCAGAGTGCCTGGTGAAATGTGAGCCGGGACATCTTAACTTGAGAGCCCAGATTCTTTGCCATGATTACACTCAAGCAACATGCTTTTGCACCTTCCTCATTTTTGTATCTGCTCGTGCTCTGCACACATCCTAAGTGTGGGGCAGGTCAGCATCAGGGACATTCAGGATGACCCCATCCTTGCTGCCAGAAAGACCCTGAAAATGCTGGCACCATCTCCTTTCCAGAGGGATCACTGCAAACAAATTCACAACAAAACCTCAGACCAAGTCATCCTCCCCTTCACAATAAATTGCTACGCAAGAGGAGGGGAAAAAAAAAAACCCAAAACTCATTAGGTTAATGGGAAATAAATGTCATTCTGCAAGTTTACATTTTGCAGCACAAAGATTCAAATTTAGATAAAGCTAGTGAATAATTAACCAATAAAACCAAATGATGTTTAGTGTTGTTGTGGGAAACTGTTCCAACCTGGATTGTTTCACCATTTATCATTAAGGGTAGATTGTTTGGGGCAGTTGTTCAATGTCTGTCATCAAAGAACTCTCTAAGCACTTTTAACAAATGATCTAAAAATGTTATTAGGGGTAATCAAGCCACTTTACAGATGGGGAAATTGAGGCTTAGAGAGAGAACATTATGTAGCTAAAGGTTGCACAGCAAATTAATGGCAGATCTGGATTGCCTGATAACGTTAGGAAAAAAGATGGTCCAGAAAAGGATAATTCTAGTTAACTAAACCTTAATCACTTTTTAAGCAGCATGGTGTTAGATTTAATCTAAAAAAATACAGGTTTTCAAATAATATACTGATAGACCTCACTTCGAATTCACGTAGGCCACTAACAACCTATATGATCTTGGGCAATGTGCTTTACCTTTTGAGCCTCACTTGTTTCATTTATATGAAGGAACTGATAGTATCTGATAGAACAAAAGAGATCATAGAAGACATTATCAATCTACCCCAAAGCAGGAAAGGAATAAAGGAAGAAGCAAAGAAAGGGGGCAATAAACCAACAAAATTAAACACAAAAGAATAGAAATAATTTCAAATATATCAGTCATTATATAAATGTAAATGAACTAAATTCTCCAATGAAAAGTAAGAGACTAAAATATTGCATTAAAAAGTATCCATCTGTTTAAGGGACATACACACAGAGAAAGGTTAAACACAAAGAGATAAAAAAGGTCTTGCGGGCAAATAAAAGAAATCGCACAAAATAAAATAAGGCAAAAATAATTCACAGAGAAAAAAGGGACACCATACAACAATTAGAAAAGAACAATGTACAATGTGCCAAGGAAATAAAACAATAATAAACTTAAATGCACCTAAAAAAAAATAACCTCAAAATATATAAGAGAAAACTATAACACAATTATAAGCAAAGTATATCCCCATGTACCACTATAATTAATAGAAGTATACAAAAATGTTCTATTTATGAGAGGCACAGAAACTACAAGATTCCTAGAAGTAAATCTAACAGAAAAGCTCAAGACTTATATGGAAAAAAATAATAAAATATACAATAAAATAAATACTTGTTATTATTATAAGGTATTAATTTATAATAAAAATAAAATATATTTATGAAAGCCATAGATATATGAAGAAACACAGCATGCTCATGATTGCAATACTTCAATACTAAAAAAATATGTCACTTGTTCCCAACTAACTTACAAACCAATGCATTTGAAAATCCCCACCAGGCTTTGTTATGGAATCTCAATAAGAAGATTAAAGGATCGAAAATAGATAAGACAATTTTAGAGATGAGAAAGATAAGCTGTTTACAAGTTATCAAACCCAGCCATTAAGACCACATGGTGCAGGAACTGAAGAATAAACCAATTAAACAAAATGGGTAGCCCCAAAACACAGCCATACATATATGGAAATTGTAGAAAAAATTACTCATGAAATAAAACAAAGGTGGTCTATATCGGGAAAATATAGATTCCTACCTCACACATACCAAAATAAAATCTAGGTGGGACTTCCTTGGTGGCACAGTGGTTGGGGGTCCGCCTGCCAGTGCAGGGCACACGGGTTCGAGCCCTGGTCCAGGAAGATCCCACATGATGCGGAGCAACTAAGCCCACGCGCCACAACTACTGAGCCTGCACTCTAGAGCCCGTGTGCCTGGAGTCCATGCTCCGCAACAAGAGAAGCCACCACAATGAGAAGCCCGTGCACCGCAACGAAAAGTAGCCCCCGCTCGCCACAACTAGTGAAAGCCTGCGTGCAGCAACGAAGACCCAACGCAGCCAAAAAAAAATTAACTAATTAATTAAAAAATAAAATAAAATAAAATCCAGGTGGGTTAAAGGCCTAAAAATGCTCAAAACTTTAGAAATTTTCAGAAATATGGTGAAATATCTTCATGAACTCTGTTAAGGAAAGAAATCTTAAAAGAATCAACCATAACTGATGAATATGACTATATAAAAAACACTTTTTATTAAGTAAAAAACATTATAAACAAAGTGAAACGATTATCCATAGAGTAGGAGATATTTGCACAATATACAACCAAAAGTGGATTAGCATCTTGGATAAGGATCGTGAATAATGAATAGAAAAAAAAGGTGAAGACAAAACACTATAAACAGGCAACGCACATAAGAGAAAACCATAATAAACGTGAAAAATGCACAACTTCACTAGTCATGAGGGACAAGCAGTACAACTTAACACTCAGTAACAGGTAAAGATCTTTAAATGTCTGACAGTGCCACGTGTCGGGGGGGGGATGTGTGGTAGCAAAGAAAAAACTGCTGGTGACAATGTAAACCGCCACAATCACTTTGAGGAACAATCTGGGCAACATCTAATAATTCCAAAATGGTACATTCCTAACAGCCAGCAATTCCTCTTCTAGATCCATACCCTGGAGAATCTCTTTTCCACGTGCACAGGGAGACATGTATAAGAATATGCACTGTAGCTCTGCGTCCTAGAATGGAAACAGCTAAATATCCAACAGAAGAGTAGGATTAGAGAAAATGAATACTGTGTAGCAGTTAAAAAAGAACAGATTAGAGCTACATGTATTATCATGGAGGAATCTCAAAAACAGCAAAAACAGAGTACAGAAGGGGAGCAGTAGAAGTAAAGGCAGAATCGCACGTACTGTATACAGTTAAAGTTCAAATACACACGCAGGGGAATTAAAGCCTCCAACCTCAGGAGAACGGTCCCCTCTGGGAGCGAAGGACAAAAAGATGGAAGGATAAAGGGATGGGAGATGAGGAACAGAAACCAAGGGGCCACCAACTGTTTTTGAAATGCTTTGCTTCCTTAAAAACATCTGAATCTGATGCGGCAAAATGTTAATTTATGTGAACCCCGTCCTCTTGATGCACAAGCATCAATTACACTGTCTGTTCTACTTTCCCATGTGTTTGGCAAATGTCTTACTAAAACATTTAAAAGTATCCAATGTGACGTTATTCAAAGGCTCCAGCTTGGTGACTAACACAAAATTAGCTTCTCATTCACTTAAACTTACCTTCTCCTTGCATGTGAAACTTAAAATTTTAGCAATATTTATAAAAACCTTTCTTTACTGGATTAATTCCTTTGTTTTCTTAAACAGACCATGCTGGATAGAAGGCAACCTTCTCCCAGCGATTTCCAAGTATCATTCTAGAATCAAATCCTGGGGTGTTCTCTCTCGTGCTGATGCCAAAGGGAGAGGAGCCTCAGTGGCTCTGCACTCAGTGGCCCCAGTTTGCTTGGCTGAAAATCCAGAAAACCCGAAGAAGGAAGATCATGTAGTTCTCCCACTGATGTCCTCAGCTTCCGACTCTCACTCTCACGGCTGTAGGGGTCCCGCTCTAGAATTCACTCATTTACTCAATTTAAAAAAACAAAACAAAACATAGTGAGCACCTATTTGTTCGAAGCCTGGCTGCCCTGGATGACCATTTGGAGAGGGCCCACATTTCCCTGTGAACAAGAGGAATCACTGTGGGAAGGTTATTGACAGCAAGATCGTTACTAATTAAAAGATAATGAACACAAGTTAAGCAGATACATTAAAAAACACTCCTATGATATTTAAAAAGAAACCATGGAAGCCACCAGCACTCCTCTCCAATGTCGGGGTTTCATGGAGGAGCGATTCCCCCCAACTCTGATACGGGGAGCTGGCTCTGGGCGCTGCTGGCTGCTTCCTTCACAGCAGTGGTTCCTGTAAAGAGGGAGGTTGATTGTGTCCTGGAGGAACATGTGGTAACGTCCGTAGACACTGCTGATTGTCACAACTGAGGGAGATGCTTCTGGCATTTAGGAGGTGGAGGCCAGCGATGCTGCTCAACAGCCTACAATGAGACAGCGCCACCTCCCCCCAGCGCCCCGCCCCCCCCAACCGCGGCCGCCAACAACAAAGAATGATGCAGCTCAAAACGTCTGCAGTGCTGCAGCTGACAACCCTGGTCTACAGCGACGACGGCAAAACCCCACAAGGCTCTGCTCTCCAGCAGCTCAGAGCAGTTCATTAGATCACGCAAAGCCAAGGAGACAGAAGTGGCCCAGCTAAGGGTCTAAAGCGTCACTGGCCTGACTCTGCCTTCAGCAAAAGTTTATTCTCACGAGGCCAGCTCTGAGCACAGCAGCCATTCACAGTCACCCCGTCAAAGCAAAGGCTGTCTATACTCTCACCCCGACAGCGGCTGAAGGCAAGGCGACCTCGTCTGTCATGTGCGGCTGGGCCCACTCTCTTTACTCTCCAGGGTCCTTCCAAGAACCCTGCTGTGTGAAGACTCCCCCCACGGAAGGTCCCCTCTGAAGAGGCAGTGAGTGAGGGCAGAGGCAGAATTGGTGGAGAAGAAGGCGCCTGGGAGGAGCAGGTGGAGGCCAGCTGAAAGGTCTACCTGGGCTGGTCCTAAGACCCCTCCAGCTGGTCTCCCCACGAATCAGCTCTCTAACAGGGCCCCCAGAGGCAGGGAATGCGCTTCCCAAATGCCTACTGGTGTCTCCCTCTTACCTGATCGCAGAGGGTTCCGATCAAGCCTTCTAAGTCCTGCTTCTCACGGAGGACCATCTGCTTCTCCTCATATTCTTGCTCCAGCTGCATTTCCAGTTGGCGGAGCTGTGGGCACAAAGGGCAGATGCAGGCATAGGATACAAGAGCTCTACCCGACAAACCCCACGAGGCAGGGACCATCTGGAGGATGGGGTGGGGGAGGTGGAGTTCATGGCCCCTCGCCCAGTTCCACAACGGCTCACCTAGCAGTTAGGAGGGGGTGTCTCTGTCAGAGAACTTGGGAGCCTAAAAGCTCAGGAGCAGGACAACTATGGGGAGAGCTGGCCAATTACAGGGAGCCCCCTGCCATTCACTGTGAAGTCCCCGCCCCCAGTTCCCTTCCCATTTCCTAACACAGGTCTCCTTCCTCTGCCACGACCCAGCTTGAAGAGTTACAAGTCTTGGCACTCTGACTTTTTAAGACTCTGCACAACATTGTATCCAGCATAATAAGGTGCGTTCACCTCACTTGCTAAATACACAACATTGTATCCAGCATAATAAGGTGCGTTCACCTCGCTTACTAAATACACGGACGCAGCAAACAAAACAAATGTTGCGTTTGAGATTATTTGGTGTTTGGACTGCACGTTTGTCTCTCCAAAATTCCTAATCCCAATGCAGTATTATCTGCCGATGGGGCCTTTGGGAGATAGTGAGGTTTAGATGAGGTCATGAGGGTGGAGTCCCCATGCTGGGATTAGTGCCCTTATAAGAAGAGACACCAGGGACCTTGCTTCCTCTCTCTCTCCACTGTGTGAGGACACAGCGAGAAGGCAGCCGTCTATCTACAAGCCAGGAGCAGGGCCCTCACCCCACACCAAATCTGCCAGCACCTCGATCTTGGACTTTCCAGCCTCCAGAACTGTGAGAAATATATGTTTGTTGTTTAAGCTCCCCCCCACCCCAAGACCCCAGTCTATGATATTCTGTTATAGCAGCCCAAGCTGACTAAGACCTTTGGCTACAAGCAGCTCATTTAGTTTACAATTGGCTCTGATTTCTCGGTAATCACCCAGCAATGGCAGGCACTCCCTGCTAAAGCGGACGCCCCACTCTAACGGTGCTTTGCACATCGTCTTCTGCACCAGACTCTCTCATGTGTGTTGTCTCACCCCTTCCTCGTTTCTCCATCCTGTGCTCTCAATGACCTTCTTTCACAGACGGGAAAACTGAGCCAGAGAGCGGTCCTGAAGCATAGACTCCTACGTCAACTGCTGCTAACAGTCAGCATTCTGTCTCCTGGCCCCAGCTCTTGTGCCACACCAGACAGCCATCAGCATTCCCACCCAGGTCTCTAACGATTGATCTCCTGCCATGGTGAGAGACAGACTGAGCAGAGCAGTCACTAGATGTGCAGTCAATGTTAGTATTTGTGATAAGAGAAAAACACCTTTCTCTGACCTCCCCCTCCCCCTTTATAAATCTGTCCATGGAAAAGCCTCAGGAGGGTCTGTCTGGGTCACATCTCCAACTCATCAGGGTCCTGGCTCAGGGCACTCATGATGCTCTGAGGCACTCTTGGAATGCACTAGAAATTATGCTCCCTTCACCTGAGGGCACATGGGCAGGGACTGGGGGCTTCCATCTCCTGACCCACGTAGAGAAAAAAAGTACTGATGTATGGTCATTTCAGAAGAAAGTTCGTTTCAAAATTTTCTTTTAAGAGTGAGAGACACAAAGCACTCCGCTCACACCTGCTTAAAATGAAGACTGCAAAAGTGAAACTCGTTTTGGAAAATATACAATAAAAATTATGCATCAAGCAAGGCAAAGTTTTCTGGAGTGTGTTCTGTAGAACATTTCCACATAGTGTTCACACGTATACTGTGTGTGTGTGGTGGGAAGGGAGGGAAGTCCATGCTAGAATAAGTGTGGGAGCCACTGAGTTAATAGGGCCTTCCATGCAGTACTTATCAGAGCCTTTGGTGAGTTCATGTGCAGGAAGTGCTAAAGGATGCAGCACTGCCCAAGGTTGACTTCTATCAAGTGCTTTCTAAATGGCCTTCCATAGTCCAAACATTTGCAAAATTAAAAAAATTTTTTTTTTTTTGTGGTATGCGGGCCTCTCACTGCTGTGGCCTCTCCCATTGTGGAGCACAGGCTCCGGACGCGCAGGCTCAGCAGCCGTGGCTCACGGGCCCAGCCGCTCCGCGGCATGTGGGATCTTCCTGGACTGGGGCACGAACCCATGTCCCCTGCGTCGGCAGGCGGGCTCTCAACCACTGCGCCACCAGGGAAGCCCCTAAAAAAAAACTTTTAAAATCTAGTTATTTTGGTTAAGAGATTGGGCTTTGGAGTCAGACAGACCTAAGTTCAAGTCCGAGCTCGTTTACTTCCCAGTGAGGTAACCCTGGGGAAGACCCTTCACCTTTGGGACTCTAGTTTCCTCATCTGTAGAACCAGGACTATAAACCTTACAGAGTGCTTATGAGAATTAAATAAGCTGACAGACGTAAAGAACCCAGCCTGAAACATGGTGCCCACTGGGTATTCAAAGAATCTCATTCATTTCTCCCAAATATGCAATAATGGAAAATAAGCAGAAATTGGCCCCTCAATGATAACTCCCAGCACTTTACAGTTTATAAGGCATCTGCCATTCTTTCCTCTTATGCTCACAACAGCGTAGGTAAGGTAGAACATTTTCTCTTATTGCTCCCATTTTGTAGATGAGAAAACTGAGTCTTAGGGAAGTTACAAGACTTACTCAAGGGCACACAGGTCTGGTTGAACCTAAAATCTATGACTCTTCTTTTCCAACTCTGGGGAGTTTTGGGGGGAATGCACTTGGCCCCTTGGGATGATCCATGTAAACCCCCAGAGGGGCTGAGCTCTAAAGGGGCCCCAAAAGGAGTATCTGAGGAGCAGGAAGGGCAGCAGATGCAGCAGCACCAACCACTGGGAGTGGAGAGGGGCTCAGTTCTTACTTACTCCCCTCCCCCTCCCCCGGGGCGATGATAGGGTGCCGAGGCGACCCCATCTGCCCAGGACTTCCTCACTAGAGTCCCGTCTCCGCCGAGGTCCTGACACCCAGGACCTCCAGCCCCGCCCAGGATGATGCTCTTGGGGGGATCTGCAGAGCACCAAGTCCCTGAACCCTCCTTCTCTTGGATGGATTAGTCACACCCAAGAGCAAGGCAACCACCAGGTTTGTTCCCTGGTTCCTCTGGAAGGATCAGCTACCTGAAGATCCACACACACACCGGTATTGCTCATAAGTTTCCAACCATCAAGGGTTACATTACAAAGCTCTGTTCAATAGTTCCACATCTGTGATCTCCTTGAATCTTCCCTGTGACCCTGCAGGGGGCCATCATTATCCTATTTTACGGATGAGAGAAGTGAGGCTTATTAGCAAGGTTACGTGATTTCTCCAACGCCCCACAGCTGATAGCTGATGGAGTTGGGACTTGATCCAAACCTCTGTGACTCCAAATAAAGTAGCAACATTGGCTTTTTGTGTGTCTTATAAACTGGCTCTGAGTGACCAGCGGTGGATACAGAGAATGGAGTGTAGTTTAGTTGGAGTTGAGGGTTTAAAATCACTTTCCCAAAATCACACAGTTGTTAAGCTGGAAGGGCAAAGATTCAAACCAAGAGTCTATGAGTTCCAGCACCCATGCTCTCAGGCCCTGCAGTCTGGAGGTCTCTGTAGAGACTCTGCTTAGGGAACTAATAATCGGAGTCAACCTTGGGAAATGCTACTCGGCCCCTTCTTGGAGATTCACAATGTACCCAAGGCTATGAAAGGCTCACAGAAATCCTACCCAGACAAAACCTGTTAAATGAGGCTTAACCCAAAGCTTCTCAGCAATTCCATTTTAAAGATTCATCTCACATTCACATCAGTGAATGCATCTGTAAGGAGGTCTGTCTCAGCACTGGCCATAAAAACAGAAAACCCTAAATGTCCAATGACAAGAGAATTAATGAGAGCACACGCCTAAGGTGGAATGCTTTTATAAGCCACTAAACATGTACATTAGATCTGCATTTACTGACATGAGAGGAGGCCCAGGACAAACTTCGAGCGAAAACAGCAGCATGACCCCATTTAGGTGAAACGATCTCTCTACAAATATGCACGTGTGGGTACAATGAAAGAGAGAGAGGAAAGAACATTTAAAAATAGTAATAATGATGGTGCCTTGGTGGTAAGATTTCAAGGGTTTACTGCCTTCTTACACACTGTCTGAAATGTCTGCAAAGAGCTTGGATAAAATGTAAGAAATGATCTGCAAGGCAAATAGCCAGAAGGGACTGGTCCCTTTCTTGAAACATATAAATCCTTACCCAAAGCATCAGTCACATGGCACTGTGGGCTCTTGGTAGAAATCTTGGGGTGATTATGCTAGACAGTTTCAGAGGATCGTAGTTAGGACAGGTACGTCTGCTCCAGCACCCTTGAAAGCACTGGGGAAGCTAAGGTCTCAGGTGGTTGAAGGGACTGTCCCCAGGCCCTGGGATTCCCCTCACTCTAAGGATGAGGCACCCAGGCTGACCCTGCCGGGACCCCAGGACACAGCTGTGCTCTTGGCTCACATACCCGCTTCTGGCAGGACTGGCGGATGTCCTCCATCTCCTCCTCCGTGTCCTCTCGGTCCTTCTGGTGCATCTGCTTCATCCGCTCAATCTCCAGCTCAAACCGCTGGCGGAGCTGGGGGCAGCAAGGACAGCACGTAAGGGTGACCCACACCATCCATGTCGTTCTTAGCATTTCAGCTGCATTTTTCATTTTGGGACTGCATGGATGAGAGTCAAGTTACCCCCCCACCCCGCCCCAGGCACCCAGGGAGGTCAGAAATGGTAGATAAATAGCCCAAATACTGCCTCTATCCCTTCTGTGGTCATAACGTCACTAATCAATCACACTCTTTGCCACTGCATTTAGATATCATTTTGGAATCCTTCTCAACACTCTCAGGATGAAACAGATTTGTCATCCCTGGAGCAGGCATCAGGGAAGTTCTTCTAGATGGGCAGATAGGTGGGTGAATGGATGGTAGAATAAAAGTTTACTTATGAAGACAGGAAACCCTGGAGAGGGAGATGACTTGCCCAAGATGCTACCTTGACAATTCACTTTGCCTCTGATTAGTTACCTTGCTCTGTGGAAAACAGCCTTCTTAAGATACATTTGTGATAGTTAGATGAGATGACATATAAAGTGCAATGCCTGGCACAAAAAGATTACGTTTTCTTTCCCCATTATTTTGAAAACAGAGTAAGGATTGGCCCCTCCCTTCCCGGAAGCCTGACATAACCAAGAACTGTGTTCCCATTAAGGAGATGAGCCTTTTCAGTGAGAGCCTCCACCACCTGCTCAGGGCAGGAAAAGAGCTGCGTGTGATGTTTAAGCTGTGCCATCTTACATAAAAGGCTCTAGAACTGGAGGCAGAAGTCATGGGACCCAATTCTAGTTCAAGAGTTTACTTTCTTGATTTTCATAATTCAGAGACTGATCCAAGCTCTTGCTTGTCAAGTTTTGTGGCATATTAGAATTACCTGGTGCCTTTTTTTAAAAAAATGTCAATTCCAGGGCTTCACTCTAGACCTACTGGGTCAGAATCTCCAGGATACGGGCCTCAGGAACCTATACTGTTAAGCTTTCATTGATCTATCCTCTTCGATGCTGTTGGTCATGGAGCAGCATGGAACCCACCAGTGCAGAGGGTCAGACTGTAGAAACTACAACGTCCTGACCATTTGCTACTCTACCCTGGCACCTCACAGCAAACTTTCATGAGGCTACAATTGCTGCCTCTCTAACATGGACATGCAGTCGAAAAAAGACAACTGTGGTCTTTCCCAACGTTGATATTCTCTACTACATAGGACTGTGGCGAAGAGGAAGAAGAACGGTGTGCATCAGAGCCCCTATTGTAGTTCCCGGCAGAAAGCAGGCTCACTTTAAATGCCAACTTCCTTCCCTGCCTCCTTTAAAATGACAGAGGTTATGGGAAGGTAATCCAAAATGAGGAGCATTTAAAGCAAGTAAACGTAGTATTTCTTTTTTATTTTTTCCCTAGCCTCTTGGACACTCCTGACATCTGCAATATCATTTATGTCAAGCTTATATGAGTTAACATAAAACTTCCTGGAAAAAGTGCTACGTTCTAATCAATAAATATCTCCTGGATGTCTACAATAGCCCAGTGCAGTGTGAGGTGATGGGTGAAGCTGAAGATGGATGAAAGGGTTGAGTCAGCTTTGCCTCCTGTGTAAGCTGACGGGGGGTACTGGGAAGCTACATTCAGCCTCGGTCCCTGAGGTCACCGTAGCACATTTCTGCTTCCAAGCACCGAGTGGTCCCCTGGTGGCATTTTCAAGAGGTAACACAACTTTCCAAAGTGCTCACTCTACTCTTGACTCTGGGTTTCTTTGTGACGCTGTTCCACCCTCTACGTCCCAGAACAACCTGCACAGATATCCCACCTCCTTCACGAACCTTCACAGATTCACAGCTGGGGTTGGGGGGAGGCTAGGGGGTTGACAAGGCTCCGACTTCATTGTACAGATGAGGAGACTAAAATCTAGAGAAAACGGGGGGCTCGCCTAACATCACACAGACCCCATCTGCATGGGATCATCTTGCAGTTCCATAAATGCCACGCGACCCCCCTGCCTCCAGGCCTTTGCAGTGGCTGTTCCCCCTGCCTGGAACTCTCCTCGTCAGCCAACTCAGACTCATCCTTCAGCTTTCAGCTTCAGTAAATATCACTTCCTCCAGGAAGTCTTCCCTGACTGTTCCAAACCTGCTCCCCAAACCAGATTCTGCAAGTTAAACCTCCCCGTAACACGCAGCATAACTACAACCTTCAGCAGAGCGGAGACCACGTGCGTCTTGCTTACAGCTGCGTCCCCAGCGTCCACCCCGTGCCTGGCACACAGTAGGTGCTTAATAAATATGGGTTTGACTGAGTAAAGATGCTGTTTTCTGAACCACTCCAGACTGTCCCTCCACGCCTGCCACATCCATGTCTCAATGCTCAGCAGACTCCATCCCCATGGAAGGGGGATAAGTGAGAAGCAAGGGCCAGCACCCCAGCCTCCCCCCAACCACCCCCACTCCCTCACACCACTTCACCAGAGCAGCTCAGTTTATCTGCTTTTATGTATTCATGCTGCCTGGTCAGATGTTCTTGAAAAAGGAGTTCCAACCTTAAAACCATTTCAACATAATTACCCCTTATGAAATCCCACATGAGAAATTTTTTTAGAACTAAGCATCAAGAAAAGCCTTGCTTCCCCTTGAAAGCCTAGCTTGTTTTTATCTTGGGGATGATAAAAAAAAGCATGTAACTCACATTTCCTTTTTCTCTCTGGCCACCAGGAATTTTAGAGCTAAACCTATTAAGCGTGTAAGATCGTATGTTCTGCGTGTCTGCTTATTAATTCACCACCCCACCGTTCCTTAGCACCGGTTGTAATTTGTGTTTTTCTGGTTTGGCTTGTTTTATTTATTTTTCTATTTTATTATGCATACATCTTATAAGCTGCCTCGAATTCTTTGGGGAATGAGTTGGGCATATAAACAAACAAGCAGACAAAATATTCCTCAGGTGCTTCATTGAGGGGGCTGGTACAAGAGTATTGGATTCCTGCCTTATTCCCCTCAGTTATTTTGCATTTTCCAAAGATCGGGGTTCCCATCTCCCTGGAGGCTGTGCACAGCACAGGTAGCCGAGGCGCTGTGGAGTCAGATGGCGCAGGCTCCAAATCCCGTCCCTGAGCCTCAGTTTCCACATCCGTAAAGTGGGGATAATACTAATACCTCAGCATATAAATTTCTTGTGGAGATTGATGAGGTGAGATGTGAGGAGAGCTTAGGGCTGAGTCTGGTACACAGACAGCGCTCAATAAACACCAGATATTGGGTCAACAGTTATTTAATGAGTACCAACTATGCACTGGCCTCATTCCCGGCTCTGGAGATGCCCTGATAAGCAAAATCAACCAAAACGCCCTCCTGTTTCCCGGAAACTTATATCCTAACGGGGGAGAGAAGCATTGAGCACACTTTTTAAAGCACTATGGCATATGATGGCAGGTGCTTTGAAGGAGAACCAAACGGCTAAGGAGCGGCGTGGAGGTGGGGTTGTTTGCAAGAAGGAGACCAGGGCAAGCTTCTAGGAGGAGCTGACACTGACGCTTGCAGGATGGTAGGAGGGGGCTACATCATGAAAGGTCTGAACATCAGACCTAGGGGGTTGAGGTGCTCTGGGGTACTAGGGAGCCACAGAAGGATGACGAGCAGCTGAGTGAGGCGCTTGTGTCGTATTTTGACAACAGCCTTCTGCACTGGAGTCAGCGTGGGGCAGGCATCGCCCTGGACAGGACCTTCCTACCTGCTCCAGCTGCTTGATGGTGTTTTCCTGCTGGGTGTGGATTTTCTCTTGCTCGAGGGCGCTGGATTCCAGCTTCCAGAGTCTCTCCTTCAAGCCCGCAATGCAATTCTCCGCCAGAGAGGGTGACCCCAGCAGCTCCTGCTTCTGGGCCTGCAGCAGCTCTACCTCCTGCTTCAGCTGCAAGGTTTCTTGCTCCTTTCCCTACAGAGACAAGGTGGGCAGAAATCCGAAGTCACGTGACCATACTCCTGCTCCCCCTGGGACACCTCTACAACCTGCGGGAGGGCGCTTTCCACTGTTGAGTGCACGTCATCTCCACTGCCATCTCCACCTGGATCTCGCGGCCCCCCGTCGCGCCCCGTGTGGGACACCAAGGGCCCCTCCCTGGGACAGCTCAGACAGGCTGGGGTGGGGATTTTGTGGGAAGCAACGCCCTTGCCCCTAGAGCTAGACCTCAAAGCACAAACAGGAGGTGTTTGCCCTATTTGAAAGCTGTGTACCTGCCAAGGGTGGGCCTGAGACGTTGGAGCAGGGAAGCCAAGTGGCCAGGCATGACTCTTCCAGGTTAGAAAGTCAGCTCCAGGGTGAAAGAAGTTTGGGCTACATCATGAAGGAGCTGCCCGCCAGGCTAAGAGGTGCAGAGGTCCTCCCAGAGTAATAGGGAGCCACAGCAGGCCTTGAGGAGCAGCTGAGGGAGGTGCCTGTGTCACATTTTAATCAAACCCCTCTGCACTGGCACCTGCAGGGGACAGGGCACTGCCCCTAGCTGGGTCTATAGCTAACTCATCCTAAGCAAGCCTCTCCCCGCTCCCAGGTGGGCAGCTCGGAAGTCAGGCAGGTGACTGGAGCGAGATCCTGAGGGACGTGGAGCTAGGGAGGCCTGCTCATCCATCACCTGCCACCCACGGTTTGCTGATTCAGGCGCGCTGGGCTCCGTGACGCTGCCGGCACTGGCCGACCAGGACGGCCACACGCAGAGCTCTCGCCCCGCACCATCGGCAGCAGGCGCGCGAGGGAGGGGTTTCCTGAGACCCCGCAACCAAGAGCCAGGGGGCGCTGTGCCCCCGCCCCTCACCTTCAGCTGCTGCTGAAGCTTGCCCAGCTCGCACCGGACGCTGTTGTTCTCCTGGGCCGCTTTCTCTCGGAGGCCCTTCTCAAACACGGACTCTCCCAGGGCCTGGGCCAGCTGCGTGTCAAACCTGTCAGAGCAGAACGCAGGTCACGGCCCCGACGCGGGTGTGCCTGGGCCGCGGACGGGGGAGGGAAGGTGGGTGCTGGAGAGAGGCAGTTAGCTTGCTGAGAACCGCTAGGGAGAGAAGGAGAATTAAATGATGGAGGGTTTGTGGATGTGGGGTAGGAATCCTGAACACCAGAGGGCAACGCTGAGGGTTTATAGTTTCCACAAAAATACCGGACACTTATTTAAAATGTGATAAAAACATATACACAAAAATAAAAATAGAATAAAACTATACAAATAGAGAATAAGAACAAAAAACATATAGATATATAGAAAAAGCTAACCTATCAGGTTTGCTGACATACGCCAAGGACTTTTAATTCTACAAGGCCCAGGTTTGGCATCTAATACCATTGATTGGCACATGAATGTATTTATCAGCACAAACAAGGGATATTCAACACTTCATACTGTGCATGATACCGTGGGGCTCATGCACTCATTAGCCATATTACAACACGGTTATTACTGATAGAATGCTGGACAGTTATACATTCCATCTTGTCTTCATTTGGTTCCTAAGCAGAAAACACAGAGACTGGACAGTCCTATGGGAGCCGCTGGGGAATCAGGAAGTACCTACTTTGGAGCGCACCTGCCCCTCCACGATGGTGACCGCTAGGTGGGAAGCGCTTCCTGGACTGGACATCATTCCACTCATCAGCCTCTGTCCCTATCACAGGCAAGGAAACTGCAAGAGGCTCTGATAAGCCTCAATAAGATGTGACTTTGGTCACTTGCCCTCAGCCCACACAGAAAGGCCACGTGCTCCAGGGAACTGGGTGTGGCCAGAATGGCTGAACCAGGCATGGGGTTTTGGCCTTGGTGAGAAGAAGGTCTCCCTTGTTACAAGATTATCCAATGTCCCTTAACGCTAGATGGTCATTCAAAGCCTCAAGACTCCTGAAAGAGCCAACTACAGGTCATATGAGGGGGGCCTACTGTTGGAAGGGCCCAGAGGCTTTCTGATTGGCTGTTGGTGACATCATTCAAGAGGCACTATTGGCTGCCTCTGAAATGGCCACACTGTGATGATGATAATGGTCCAGCAGTCCCAAAGTGCCAGGCTCTGAGCTGGGATCCATGGGGTCCTTATAACAATTCAGTAAGAAACACATTATAATCATTTCATACAAGAGAAAACTGAAGTTCAGAGAGGTGAGTGATTCAGCCAAAATCCCAAAGTGGGTTTGAGCCAGCTTCTCTGCTGATTTAGCTGGTCCCCCATCTACCTGTTCATGCCCTGGAACAGGGAAGGAAAGACACTGGGGGCCAGACAGTGATGGATGTTTTAAAGGAGTCCTTACTGGGCCACCTGATGCCAAAGAATGCCTCCAACAGACCCTAACATTTGGAACACACTGACCGACGAACTGCCTGAGGCCAGAGGGAGTCACACCCTTCACCCCACTAGGAGCAGGCTGGGAGTCCAACCTCCCGTGGCTCCAGCACAGGCCTTTTCCCTGTGGAAGCAGCTGGGAGCTCCATCAGCCCTCGGAACTGAGCTTTGTGACCCATGAGTAACCATGGCAACAAGAAGCCAACCTCAAATGGAGCCATTCTGGGCCACTCTGAACTTAGAAGCCAAGGTGGGGCAGGGAACTCTATCAGCATGGAGACATCACTCCCTCCAGAGCCCAGCAAACTAAGGAGGCAGCTGCATCTACACTTCGATTAAGCTTAAAGAGGTGTGAGAAAGTAACACTAACTTCTAGATCTCTCCCTCACTATAGAGATTCTGCCTGAATTTCCACCGTTAGACAGAGACTTCTACTCCCTTATGGGCTCCCTGCTAAAATGCTAGCCCACCTAGAGAGGTAATGGCTGCTATTTGCAATGAGCATCAAACATAAATTAACTTCTGCTAAGATATGGTAACGGAGTACAGAGCATGACAGGGCAGGTAAGTCTTAAGAAGAAGAAATGTAAGTATGATGAAATGGTGACTTTCCCGGTGGCCATCATGGGGAGGTTCTTGAGGACCTGGAATGAAGGATTCTGTCCAAGGGGGTCGATCACAGGGAAGACCAGAGAGATGGAATTTTCTGGCTGCATAAACTCCAAGGGCAGAACCCTGGCCCCGCCACCCATCAGAAATCTGAAACCCCCTCATAAGGCCTCTCAGAAGTAGAACCCACAGATAAGGGCCAGAATTGTCACAGCTGGCAGAAACCTGAGGGGTGATGGAGTCTCACTTCTCAATTTACAGATGGGGGTCTGTCAGAGCCACTCTTCAGCACCAGGTGGCCTGCTTAAGTCCAAGGACAGCTCTGAAACATCAGTCACTGTCTGGCCCAGACAGGTAGTGTCACTTGACAAGGTCACCCAGGAAATGACCAAGGTGGGACTAAGCCATTCTCCCCACTGCAAGGACAAGGTTTAGCCAGAGCATCCATGGGGAGGTGGAAAAGGAAACAGAGTCAGCTATCAGCGAGAATAAACTTCTCTCATCTTGGGGGGGCACTAATAACACCCCAAAGAGCTTCTTCCCCCCCCCCCCAAATGAAGGAGCCTGCTCAGGAAAGCTCAAAGGTGAATGAGAGAAACAATATTTAATGCAGATCGAGTTCAAAGCCTGTGCCAGTCCCAGGGAAATATAACTCAGCTTGCTACCTGGTGGAAATAGGCAACCTCGGCAAAACCACATCCTGGCACACATAGCAAGGTTTTTCTGTATTTTTATCCTGGATCTTCTCAAAGAGGCTGTATTTCATCTATTTGCCTCCTAGGAAGTTTCCATTAGGGCTTATCTGGCTCAGAACAAGACCCCTGCACACCTTTACCCTCACCAGGTGAGCTGAAGAACTTTGGACACAGCCAAGAAGTCCAGGGATGAAGCTGAGGTTGCATGTAAGGAGGCCTGTGAGTGTAAACTTGGGCTCCTGGTCTAGGCTCCACCCACGGAAACCTGCGACAGCACCGCTGGAAAGCAAGCACGGGAACCAGTGTGCAGATTCAAGACTGGCATCTTGTTTGTGCACAAAGCCCAGTCCCTGCCAGAACTGCTCACGTGAGCTGAGAGTCTAAACTTCAAATGAAAAGGGCACTGACTCAAGTTTTTGGCCTCCCCACCATTTTCAACAGTGAGAATAGGAACCAGACTCTAGTCCTGCGGGATCTACCAACTGTTATCATCTAGTCTTCACCACAGGGGAGGCACTCCACCTAAGGAGAAGAATCAGGCTGAGAAGGGTTGAATGACTTGTCCAAGGTCACACAACTAGCAAGAGGCCCAGCTGGGACTTGAACCAGAACTTGCACCCCTAACCACCAGGCAAGGCTGTCTTTGCCCTCCACAATGAACTCTACACTTGATAAGTGGGGATGCGGAGGCCCAGAGGGGCCAAGAAAGTTCCCCAAGCTCACATGGTCAGTTGGTAATAGAGCTGAGACTGGGTAACAGAAAAGAATTATTTCTTGCTAGATTCTTGGGAGAACCATATAGGAATGTGTGAGGGGAGAGAGAGGAAAATTAGAGCAGAACAAGGATGATAGGCTCCATGGATGAAGAGCCCTGACTGAAGTGGAGGGGTTTGGAAGAATCCGGAGACCCCAGAAGACCCCAGCACCCAGGTGATGATGTGGAACTCGACTCACTTCTTCTGCTTCTTCTCTAGCTCGTGGTTTCGGCTCTGCTGGTTCTCCAGCAGGAAGTGGGTGTCCTGCAGGTCGGAGGTCAGATGGTGGCACTTCCTCTTCAGCTGCTGGGCCATCCTCCTGGCCCCCTCGTAAGCACTCTGCAGCTCCCCAAGCTGTGGGAGGAGTAGAACAAATCAGCCATCTCTGTCAGCGCTGAACTGCCCCCTACTTTATAGGTGAAGTAGCTGCTGTTTCCAGTGTGAGTGTAATGGGAAGAGAATAGGAACAGGAGCTGGAATGACCCTGTCCTGACCACTTTTCACCTGTGTCACCATGAGGAAGCTACTTCTCTGAGCTTCAGTTTGCTCAGGGATAAAACGGGGGGTGGGGGTGTCTATCATTCTCTTAGAGTTTTTAATTTTCCTCAATAATCCTCCTGCCAGTGTGCCCACAGATTCTTTACATGCCCTGCCTCAACTCGACAGCCCCTTAAGAACTATGCATAATTGATAACCCCATCAGTGGGCATAATCTGGGGAGACGCATGCGGATCAGCCATGAAGCAGCCAAAATGGCACATGGAGAAAATCTGACCAGGAAACCCCTGAGACAGGCTCTAAAGGTCAGGGTGGTAACTGGCACTTGAGATGGGCTGACTTCCACGGGGACACGCGCTGCTGGAAGCAAACAGAAAAGCCACAGCACTTGCATCTTCCTCCAGGAAACACCCTCCCAAATGTCCTAGTTTAGATCTGGGAGAGACGGCAACTCAGCACACTCGCTTTGAAGAAATGGCCTCATTAAAGAATTGCTTTAAATAAGCAAAACGCTAAGTTAATGAAGCCTGTAATTCTAAATTCAGTATTTGAAGGCAAATGGGATGTTTTCATATATTCTGCTGCTCAGAAAAAGGTTGCACTTCTATTACTTTTTAATGTAGCATGAGTATCCCTCCTTCCTTGGGGAGGCTGACTCGACTCTATAATTTGTTACAAAAAGAACTGGGCTGTTCCCCTGTGGCTGTCCCTCACTGGTTATCTATGTCTTCTGAGCATCATGATACAATGTCCAGATTGGAAGTGACCCCTAAAACCATCTCCAGAGAGCCTCACTTCCACTGTTTATAAAATCCCGTGTGATCTCATCGTGGCCCACCTCTGCAAGTTGATTCCATGATACTTTGCTCTCACAATGAGGAGATATATATACATACATAAAATAGCAGGGCAGGAAATATGACTTCAACTCTTATTGTGCTAACCTCTAATGGGGACACCAAGAAGTAAGCAGATACTCACAACACGGCATGATGAGGCTTACATTGGGGAAATAATTCAGGGGCACCCAACCCAATCTGTGTCAGGGAAGACTTTCTGGAGGGAAGGACATTTAAGCTGAGATCTTAAGGTTAGTTGAAGATATCTAGGTAGGGAAAGAAAGTGTTCTAGGAAAAGGAAACAGCATATGCAAAGGCCCAGAGGTGAGAAAGAATAAGGCTTTTTGGAAGGAGGGGGAAAAAAAAGGGAATGGAACAGAATAGAGAGTCCAGAAAAAGACCCAAAGAAATACAGTCAGTCAATCTTTTACAAAGAGGCAAATGCTATACAGTGAAGCGAAGACAATCTTTTCGACAAACGGTGCTGAAACAAGTGGTCATCCACGTGCCAAAAAAAATGAATCTAGACACAGATTTTACACAAAAATGAACTTAAAATGGATCACAGACGTAAATGTAAAATGCAAAACTATAAAGCTCCTGGAAGATAACACAGGAGAAAACCTTGATGACCTTGGATTTGGCAAATCACTTTTTAGATATGACACCAAAGGCACAACCCATGAAAGAAAGAATTTATAAGCTGGACTTTATTAAAACTAAAAATTTCTGCTCTGCAAAAGACATTATTAAGAGAATGGAAAACCACTGACAGGAAGAAAATATTTGCAAAAGACATATCTGATAAAGAACTTACCCAAAATATACAAGGAACTCTTAAAACCCAATGATTACAAAACAAACAACTCAAATAAAAAACAGGCCAAAGACCTTAACAGAGACTTCACCGAAGAAGGTTACTGATGGCAAATAAGAATATGAAAATATGTTCCACACCTTAAGTCATCAGGGAAATTAAAACAAGATACTACTACACACCTATTAAAATGACTAGAATACAGAACACTTACAACACCAAATGCTGACAAGGATGTGGAGCAACAGGAACTCTTACACATTGCTGATGGGAATGCAAAATGGTACAGCCACTTTGGAAGACAGTGTGATGGTTTCTTACAAAACTCAACATACTCTTACCACATGATCCAGAAACCATGTACTTTGGTATTCACCCAAAGGCACTGAAAGCTTACATCCACATAAACACCTGCACATGGATATTTACTGACCAAACATGGAAGCAACTGAGATGTCCTTCAGCAGGTGAATTGATAAATGAACTGTGATACATCCAGATGATGGAATATTATTCAGAGCTAAAGAGAAATGAGTTATCAAGCTATAAATGAAAAGATGTGGAGGAACCTCAAATGCATATTCATAAGTGAAAGAAGCCAATCTCAAAAGGCTACATATGGTATGATTCCAACTATATGACATTCTGGAAAAGGCGAAGCTATGGGGACAGTAAAAACATCAGTGCTTGCCAGAGGCTGGGGGTGAGGGTAAACTGATGGAGCACAGAGGATTTTTAGGGCAGTGAATCTATATGTATGAAGCTATAATATGGATACATGTCATTATACATTTGTCCAAACCCATAGAATACATGACAGTAGGGTAAACCCTAATGTAAACTACAGCAAACTAGTCTTTAGTGATGGGTCAATGAATGTTCATTGATTGTAACAAATGTCCCACTCTGGTGGACGATGTTGATAATGGGGGAGGCTATGCAAGTGTAGGGATAGGGGGTAGATGGGAAACCTCTGTACCTTCCTCTCAATTTTCCTGTGAGCCTTAAACAACTGAGTTGGTCGGACTCAGTGGTGTGCTGGAGCTGTCTCATACCAACTTAAAAGAGCTGATTCTGCACATCTCTTCCTAGTTCCACATTCAGTGACATCACAATGGTAGCCTGAAATTGGCCATGGTGGGAACATTTATACCACGGAAATCGGCAACTGGCAAACATTACATATCAGGGTCTGTTTTTAGAGTGACAGTTTATCAGCACACCACAGGTTAAAGTGTAGACTGGGTAGAATGCAGACTAACGGTGGTTGGAGACAATGCAAAACAGAGGCCAAACTACTTTCATCTAGATATGCCAGACAAGGTTACATTATATTTGTAATGCTCAGCTGCACTTTCAAGAAAAAAAGGGAAATTGTAGGATGTCAGAAATGCAGAGGACACAAAACAAGAACACTCATGGTAGATGCTAACACTATGGCAGCCAAGGTGGGGGAGAAGAAGAGCAGCAGAAAGATCCAGAAACATCCCTAATGATAGAGGCTGTGTTCAAACGCCCAGAGGGAGACAGGAGACAAGGCCTTGGGGCCATGGAAGGTGGGAGCTTGGAAGGAAGACCCTTGCACTAAGCCAGGACCCTGAAAGAGCTGCACCTATGTGACAGGGGGCAAGGAAAGCTCCACCCATGGCCTGGAAGGTGGTAAGAATGCTTGCTGCCACTCTGGCTCCCAGTCAGGGAGAAAGGATTCCCGTGAGAAATCAAAACCCCAGGTCTGTGCCTCATGTGGGTTCAAAGCTCAGCCTGACACTTTGGACATGCTGCAAAAATCTGAAATGCAGAATTTATTTAGCATAACCTCGGGGGCTGCTGCAGAAAAAAAAGTGCAAAAGTGCTTCTTCTAAGAGGAACACATCCAAAAACATAAGACTCCATTTAAAATCAATAAAAAGGTTTTTAAAATTTTTTAAATACGATAGACTCAATAATAAAAAAAAAAAAGCTAAAGACACATAAAATCTCACCACAAGAGTCAGAAGGGAAAAAAGGAACATCTACAATGCAGACCACGTGGGGCTGGTGTGTGAGAGGCGCCTGTGGAAGATGAACTCACAATCAAAATTTACAGAACACACAGGCAAACAATTCCCAGTGATAGTCAGTCTAACTTGCAATAACAGAACGACCTGAAAGAGATGCTGAAAGATCCCTTGGCTGCTGTGTGATTGAGGGGAGAGGCTGGAAGCAACGAGACCAGTTAGGAGGCTGTTGCTCTGATCTAGACGAGAGATGGAGGTGGCAGGTTAGGCTAGGGGCAATGGGGGCTGATATCATTTGACTATTTTAAGGGCACATTACAATCATTTTACAGATGAGAAACCTGAGACCCAAAAGGTAAAAGTGCTTTCCACAAGGTCAAAGCAGAAAGGGAACTGGAACTCAGGTATCCTGAGCTCACTTTCATGTTCTTTAGTCCACTCGCATGTAGAGAAACTATCACCCATATCCCATAGCGGCCTGCATGTGTAATATCAGTGGAGGCGGAGAAGCACGGAACAGGTGATGCCCTCTCTCCCTTCCTGGGTTCAGCCAACACCCTGAAGAGGGAGGTGAGACCCTGCCCAATCGCTGCCACTTTTGCAACCCAGACTATCCCTCCCCGGCCTTACCTTCTGCTCCAGCTCGTTCCTAGACGCCAGCTCCGAGGCCAGCCTCTCCTCGGACTGCTGAAGACGCTTCCTGAGGAACTCGTTCTCCATCTGAGCACAGTCGAAGCGCATCTGCCACTCGTCCGCTGTTTAACAGAGTCAGAGAGGCCAGGACGGGAGGCTCAGTGAACGAGGGTGGTTCTCTCCCACAGTCTTAGCTCTTTGTGCACAATTTCACAGTGCTAATAGAATCCCTGAGGCTTGACCTCAGGCTTCAGATTAGGAAATCCCACTTTAAGTCCAAGCTTTAAAAACCACTTCCTCCAGGCAGCCTTCCCTGACTACCTCCAGGTGTCTAACGTTATTGACCACTCACTATTTTAAGCTTGGTCGTTTTACACTGTTCAATTTCTCTACAAGTGTGCAAAGACCTTTTTTTCCCCAAGGAAAGCCCATAATTTTTGAGGGTAGGGGAGCTGTTTTAGTCATTTGCGGGTTTCTCCACACCCTCTAGAAGAGTCCCACACACACACAGCCGTTCCCCCCCACATGGTAACGCAAGTTCACCAACTGGAGTCATCCTACTGGCCTACCACACTGGGTGACAAGAGTATAAAATCAGTGACTGTTGGTTGAACTAATTAACAAATAAATCAATGAGCAATAATTAAAGTGCCTATTAAATGAAGAGCAACAGACACACTGGTCGCAAGATGTCTCTATGTGATAGCAAAACAATCCCTTGATTTGGTAAAAATCTAAAAAAAACCATTTGCTGGTGTGATGAAAACTGTTTGGCTGCAGAGAACAGGCTACAGTAAGTTGTGATATCTTTTAACTGAATAATAGAGTAACATCCTTTAAGGTAACGGAGATGTGGAAAACACTGCACAGATAGTTTAAGATACAGAGCCATCCATTTCTCCATCCATCCATCCATCCATCATCCACTGTTCCATCTACCTTCCATCCATCCAAACACTCACTGGGCACACTATTCCATGCCAGGCACAAGGGATCATGAATAAGAAACCATTCTATCTTCTGGAAGTATCTGCTTGTGGAGACAAACATGTAAAAATTCAGCTTCAACACAGCATGACCAGTAGTCTCATAAAGGAACTTAAGGAAATCCAGAAGAGGACTCAGACTCATAAGGGCAGCAAACTCTGTTTTGTTCATGATTGTGTCCAAAGGACTTACTACAATGCCCAGCATATCATAAACACTCCATAACTTTCACTGGAGAGGTGGATGGATGGATGTTAGGGTGCACGGAGAGGTGGGTACATGGATGGATGAATGGATGGTAGGACTGAGGTCTTGTAGGAGTTCACCCCAATAGGGATTCTCACATAAAACAGAAGAATGATATAACTGTAAGAAGTCAGAGCCTCTTCAAGTTTCCATCAAGGTGAATAATATCATGGTAGGAAAGGAATCCTATCTCCCCACCAGGTAAAAAGTCTCAAGTAGCAAACAGCACAGCCTGCAAAAGGAAGGGGCAGCAGAAAGGATCTCTGAGGCAGCCTGTGTACTCTGTGCTCCAGAGAGGGGTGTGAGGGGGCAACACGAACAGATGAGGAAACTTCTCCATTCTTCAAGGCTGATTTCCACCTCCAGCCTCTCTCCCCATGGGCACCATTCTTCACCAGTACGTATAAGTGAGCCCTTCGTTTTCCAAAGTCACATCCTTCCTGGGTTTCTCTGACCTCACCATTCACACTGCAAGTTTCTTGAGAGCAGAGCCCAACTAAAATTCTATAAACCACCCACCGACACACAACAGTCTGGCTCAGCACTGGACGCATACCGTAAAAGGTTCTCTTTAAATACTTAACCATGTATAGTGGGAAAACATATATTTTTAGTAATTTCTACTCCACCTTGATCCATAGAAGAGGCTGTGATGCCACTGCAGTGGTGTGATTGAAGTGTTTTATTGCTTCTTTCAACTTTCCTGTATTTTTGAAATTTTCTGTAATGAGCATGTATTACTTTCATAATGAAAAACAAAAGATTTGTGGATTCGCTTCCTGGAATAAGCATCCCGAGCTGAAAGCCTGCACAGCTAATGTGCTCATGAGCTAAGCACATTTCCCCCATCGTCCGACTCCCGTATCTTTGCACAGGAAAACAAATGGCCGGGGAGTATCATTCAGACATAAATCACAGTCGGGATGGAACTGGGGCTGATGTTCTTCTGGGGAAATTGTGCCGGTTCTGGGCCAACACGTTCCCCACTCCCTGCGTGGACCCTGCCTTGTTGGGTCTCAGGTATGTGAGAACCTCAGACTCCTGTGGATTAACCTCCCTGGTAAACGCCTGCCCTGCGGGCAGCCAGGAGGAGAGGATAACGAGAGGAGAGCAGGAAGCAAGTGTGCCCTGCCTCTCATCCACCACCTCCGACCTTGGCTCCTCTGAGTGTCCCTGATGTTTCTAGGGCATTGATTCTCTGGGGGCACTGAAGGAATGGTATCAACGTTTCATAAAGGCTGACAGGCACGCTGGGAATCCTCCTCAGTGGACTCAATTAGACTGGGGAGAGGAGGTGACAAAGATGTCATCCTGCCCATCCAGCCATGAGAGGCGAGTCCCCAGGTTACCGTCTAAGGCGGGCACCACCAGGAACCCCTGGCTCCTCCGAACATACCTCTCATTGGGCAATTCAGGGGTCCTCTCACCCTCTCTCCATTCATTCAGTAACTGCTAAGTGCCTGACATCACTTTTAAATGAGGACAGTAGTCGGTGCTCCACAGGTGGTGAGCAGGGGTAATGATCCTGCTTTCAGTAGTATCAGAAACAATGATAAACTAACAGCTATTCAGCATTCTGTACCATGCACGTGGCTAAACGCTTTCCATTAATCATCTATGGCTACATCCATTGGAAAGATGAGAAAACCGAGGCCCGATAATGTCTTTGCCCAAAGCCACCCATCTAATAAGCAATGGAGTCTAGAGTCAAATCGAGTCAAATCCAGAAATGGGATTTTACAGATTTCACTTTTTAACCACTGAGCTGCCTTTCTCAAAAATTATATTAAAAAGACTCATATAAATATAAGGGTGCCCTGCCCATCCATAGAACCACTAATTTTTGTTTTGTTTTGTTTTTTTTGTTTTTGCTGTACGCGGGCCTCTCACTGTTGTGGCCTCTCCCGTTGCGGAGCACAGGCTCCGGATGCGCAGGCTCAGCGGCCATGGCTCACGGGCCCAGCCGCTCCGCAGCATGTGGGATCTTCCCGGACCGAGGCACGAACCCGTGTCCCCTGCATCGGCAGGCGGACTCTCAACCACTGTGCCACCAG